TAAAAAATAACTATTCTTTTTATCTTAAACTAAAAATAAGGATTTTATACAAAATGTGATTGATATTATTAGGTAATTTTGTAATTAATAAATATTTTGTATTTTAATAATTCTTTTCTAATTAGATTTACTTATATTAAAAAAAAACTCATAATAAATAAATAAATAGGTAATTTGTGTTAAAATTTTATAGAAACTCTTTCAAAACCTCTTTCTAAATCAATTAATAAATAATTTTTAATATTAATAACACTTGTCTAATTAGATTTCCTTTTATTAAAAAAACTCATAATAAATAGATAAATAGGTAATTTGTATTGGAGTTTTATAGAAACTATTTAAATATATCTTTGTCTGGTGTGATAGAGTTTTATTGAAAATAAAATAGGTAATTTGTGATACAGTTTTTTAAAATTATTTTATTTTCTTTAAATATATCATTGTCTAATTATATTTAATTTTATTAAGAAACTCATAATAAAAGCTAATTTGTGGTAGAGTTTTAGAAAAATTATTTTACTTTATATATCAATTAATAAATATTTTTCTATATTAATAATTATTGTCTAATTAGATTTTTTTATTAAAAAATTCATAATAATAAATAGATAAATAGGTTAGTTTAAATTTTATTATTTATATTTTAGTTTTTTAGGTATTTTTTTATATAAATAAATAAAAACATAAATACTGAAACTCTTTGCAAATCGAATAATAGTATAGATAAAAACCCTTTTATATCAATTAATAAATATTTTTTCATATAAATAAATAAATACTGAAATACTAAAATTCTTTACCAGAGTTTTTGTATTTCACTTTAGAATTTTGGATTTCTAGAATTTCAATTTTTACATCCCTTCCTCCTTCCTCCTTCCTCCATGCTTCTATTTATAGGCTTCTTGGATTAGTAGTATGATGACATGTGTCCTTTTTTGATAATTACATAATCATAATTGGGCCGGCCCAGTTATATTGTAATAATTATTCATAAAAAATAACTATTTTTTTTATATTGAATTAAAAATAAGAGTTTTATATAGAATGTGATTGAATTTATTAGGTAATTTTTAGAGTTTTACAGAAACTATTTTTACAAAAACTATTTTTATATCCATTAATAAATATTTTTTTATATAAATAAATAAATACTGAAATACTGAAACACGTTGCTTTATTTTATTAGGTAAATTTTAATTAAAAAATATTTTTTCTTTTAATAATTCTTGTCTAATTACATTTACTTTTATTAAAAAAAAAAAACTCATAATAAATAGATAAATAAGTAATTTGTGTTAGAGTTATATAGAAACTCTTTTAAAACCTCTTTTTATATAAATTAATAAATAATTTTTTATTTAATAATACTTGTTTAATTATATTTCCTTTTATTAAAAAAACTCATAATAAATAGATAAATAAGTAATTTGTGGTAGAGTTTTATATAAACTCTTTAAATATATCTTTATCTAGTGTGATAGAGTTTTATTGAAAATAAAATAGGTAATTTGTGATAGAGTTTTATAGAAATTATTTTATTTTCTTTAAATATATCTTTGTCTAATTAGATTTAATTTTATTAAGAAACTCATAATAAAAGCTAATTTGTGGTTGAATTTTAGAAAAATTATTTTGTTTTATATATCTATTAATAAATATTTTTTATATTAGTAATTCTTATCTAATTATATTTTCTTTTATTAAAAAATTCATAATAATAAATAGATAAATATGTTAATTTAAATTTTATTATGTAGATTTTAGTGTTTTAAATATTTTTTTATATAAATAAATAAATACTTAAACTCTTTGCATTAGAGATATCTAATAATAGTATAGATAAAAACTCTTTTTATATCAATTAATAATTTTTTTTTATATAAATATATAAATATTTTCTGTATTTTACTCTGGAATTCCAGATTTCTCAATTTCTGTATCTCTTCCTCCTTCCCTCTATTTATAGCCTTCTTGGATTAAAAAGATGACGACATGTGTCTTTTTTTGATAATTATATAATCATAACTGGGCTGAGCCGGTTATATTGTGATAATTATCCATAAAAAATAACTATTCTTTTTATACTGAACTAAAAATTAGAATTTTATATAGAATGTGATTGCTTTTATTAGGTAATTTTTAGAGTATTATAGAAAGTATTTTTATATCAATTAATAAATATTTTTTTATATAAATAAATAAATACTGAAATACAGAAACACTTTGCATGATTTTATTAGGTAATTTTCAATTAATAAATATTTTTGATTTTAATAATTGTTGTCTAATTAGATTTACTTTTATTTAAAAAAAAAACTCATAATAAATAGATAAATATGTAATTTGTACTTAAATACTGAAACTATTTGCACATACTGAAACTCTTTGGTAGAGTTTCTGTATTTTACTTTGAAATTCTGAATTTCTAAAATTCTGAATTTCTGTACCCCTTCCTCCTTCCTCCATGTCTCTATTTATAGGTTTCTTGGATTAACAGGATGATGACATGTGTCATTTTCTGATAATTACATAATCATAACTGGACTGGGCTAGTTATATTGTGATAATTATTCATAAAAAATAACTATTCTTTTTATATTGAACTAAAAATTAGAGTTTTATATAGAATGTGACTGATCTTATTAGGTAATTTTTAGAGTTTTATAGAAACTATTTTTACAAAAACTATTTATATATCAATTAATAAATATTTTTTTATATAAATAAATAAATATTGAAATACTGAAATACTGTGCATGATTTTATTAGGTAATTTTCAATTAATAAATATTTTTGATTTTAATAATTGTTGTCGAATTAGATTTACTTTTATTAAAAAAAACTTATAATAAATAGATAAATAGGTAATTTGTGTTAGAGTTTTATAGAAACTTTCTTAAAACCTCTTTTTATATCAATTAATAAATAATTTTTTATATTAACAATACTTGTCTAATTAGATTTTCTTTTATTAAAAAACTCATAATAAATAGATAAATAGGTAATTTGTGTTATACTTTTATAGAAACTCTTTAAATATATCTTTATCTAGTGTGATATAGTTTTATTGAAAATAAAATAGATAATTTGTGATAGAGTTTTATAGAAATTATTTTATTTTCTTTAAATATATCCTTGTCTAATTAGAATTAATTTTACTTAGAAACTCATAATAAAAGTTAATTTATGGTAGAGTTTTAGAAAAATTATTTTGTTTTTTACATCAATTAAATAATATTTTTATATTAATAATTCTTGTCTAATTAGATTTTCTTTTATTAAAAAATTCATAATAATAAATAGATAAATAGGTTAATTTATGGACCATTTGGTCAAACATAATTGATTATAAATTGAATTTTAATTTTATTAGGTAATTTTGAGTTTTATAGAATTTATATCGTGGGATATAATAATAAAGAGAGCTCTTTATTGTGAATTAAACTCTTTTTATATTTTATTAATTTGAATTTTATTAGATAGTTTTGAGTTTTATAAAATTTATATCAATTTATAAATAAATACTGAAACTCTTTGTACAAAGGCTGAGAAAATAATGCTACACTTGATCTTAGCCAAAAGACCAAGAAAGGTTAGCCAAAAGGCCACCCAAAAAAATTTAGTACTACACTTGATCTTAGTCAAAAGGCCGAAAAGGTGTGATCATTATTTCTTTAATTTTATAGTTTTATAAGAGATTTTTACGTAATCCTTTTTACTTAAAACCAAGACTTTGTAATTTGAATTAAACTCTTTTTATATTTTGTTAATTTGAATTAATTTTAATTTTATTAGGTAATTTTGGGTGTTATAGAATTTATATCAATTAATAAATAAATACTGAGACACTGAAACACTTTGCACATTTAATAATAGTACAGATATATATATATATGGTTTCGGTATTTAAAAAAATTAATTCCACCAATATATCAACTACCGACAATCAACTTAATTTGTACGTTTTAATTAGTTTAGCATTTGCACCCTAAATCTACTCATACATACCCACCTCAAGAAATTCAACTAATTAACACTTTATCTTTACATTAATTTAACATAAGCGTAATTGGTTACATAAATCACCTTTTTTATTAACAAAAAAAAAAAAAAAAAAAAAATTAACTCAATAAACTAGGCTACTTTCTTACGAAATCTAAAAAAGTCAGATACATGTAATCCTATTTTCTCGTAAGGTAAAGAAAGAGTTAGTCAAATGTACAAGGCTTCCCATGTATTCTTATTTTATTTAATTACTTTATATAAGTCATCTTTCTTATAGTATTTGATTATTTAATGAATTAATCTCATATTAATTTAGGCCATTCTCTCTCTCTCTCTCTCTCCCACAGTGATTCCCACATTATTTATCAAGCAAAAGAAAATTAAATTTGAAAGTTTCTTATCAAGGTTAGAAGAAAAATAAATACAGTAATTTTTTTATAAAAAGAAACCCTAGTCCATGGATAGTTGGATTCATCTGAAGCCCAGACGGTATGCTTGGGCCAAACCTACACGTATAAACCAGGCTTGCTTGACGTCTCAATTCTCAATTCCTTGAAGCCCAGCCCAAATCTATGTGTCTTTTCCTACTTCAATCATACGTAGCTGTACTCTGTCTAACCCAAAATTTCAACCGAAAAAATCGACCGACTTCTGCGATCTTTAGCGCAATTGAAGAATATCCGAAACCAAAACATGAATCCACCTGTCTGATTGCTTCTTCTTTGATGATCTGATAACTACATAACCTTATTATTTGCTGTGCAAGTTATTGTCCCATATTGTACACCAGGTATTTGATTGTTTTGTTTACTCGGACTACAACTTTATAATGTTCTATCCTTCATCTTTATCATCTTTCTTTCTCTCCTTATTGAAGGACAACTACCAATTTTGGGTTCTAAGTTTATCATTTTTTTGTTTGTTTTTGTATGTTGGTATTTAATAGATTTTAAGTTTTCACAAAGCAAAAAAATCCATGTATTTCACCAATGTCAAAAAAAAAAAAAAAGGGTGCATAATAGCACACACAGATATATATAGCAATCCTGGGTATTGACAACCAAAAAAAAAAAACTAATCAAAAAAAAAAAAATCATGGGTTATCCATAGGGGCTTCATGTTTTACTCAAACGCCCATGCATTATCCCTGCGAACCTCCTTTTCTTCTTCCAGAGTATAGTCATTCTTAATATGAAAAGTCTTACGAATCTCCTCCGGAGTCTTCCCTTTTATCATATTCGCCACTGTTTGACACATCAGATCTAATAAGCTTTTGATGTCCAAATAGTTTGCTCCCAAGATGAGGTCGAAGAGGGTGGCCTGGTCGGCTTCGACCTCTTTGACAAAGTTAGCGTCAAAGGTTTTGAGAGCATCGTCCGAAGTCTTGTCTTCGGACTTGGGAGTCTCGATGTGCTTCTCGATGTGCTTCTTGCAGTACTCGACAATCTTGGGCAAGATCTTGCTAGTTACATTCGGCAGAGGAATGATGGAATCGGCACAATCATCTTCAATCATGTGCTTGATGGTCTGCGACTGCAACGCCACCGCCTCTTCCACCTCGAAGGTCTCACCATCTGAGGTTCTCAACACCACAGTCTTTGAAGTCGACATGGTTGTACCTGTCAAGCCAAAAACCAAATCCCAAAAACTAAGAACGTATGACAACAATTTTGAATCCACTAGAAAATTGCAGACCAATAGGAATAATGAATAATCTCAGCATTGCATGTATTTATAATAAGGTGCCCTAACACCGCAAGGACAAAAGAATAAGGAAACCTAATACCATTAGGTAACTAACAGAATAAGGAAACTTAAATATATAACAAATCCTATCAACAAAAGAAAATTAAAGAGAAACCTCTAAACACTAGTAAATTGTAAAAAACAGTATGTGTAATAAAAATAGCATATATGACTCGTGTTTGATATCTCACATTTCAACTTTCTAAAATTCTACTATCCCTAAAAATTAAAATGGCAAGTGTCTCAAAAAACAATCATCCAAATGCCATTGGATATGCTGCATGGATTATTGTTTGAGTAGTTGTAGGTGAGAGGATATATGTTGAGAGAAACTTGATTAACAGGAATTTTCTATTAAATATAAGTACAATGCCCAACAAAGGTTACTATATGCATTTTTTCTCTTCTTCTTCTTCCTTTTATTAATATTATTATTTTATTTTATTTTTTAAAAAAAGGTTTTCCTTTTATTGGGGGCTGGGAGGAGGAGGTGGGATGGTGGTGGGAGGTGCGAGTGTGAAAAGAAAAAGTAGTTTTACTTCACTTGCAGTGAACAGGTAATACTTATAGAAGGGAAGAAAATCATGGTGAATGATTGATATAACCCTCACTTTCTTTGTTGTTCATGCTGGGGATACATATTTTTAGTAGGCGTTTGAGACTTATTTTGATTTGTTCATGTATTCAAGTTTGGAGAGGTAGATAAAGTTGTTCATTGGAATAGTTGATTATTTAATCCTCTTGGTATTAAAATTAAATGCAGCAAAAGGGTCAGTGGCTTTGAAACGGCAACTCCTGCTTCTCCATATTACTCAGTGCTGTTGCTGCTGCAACAGGTACGTGTTCCATTTTCTGTGATTATGATTGTTATATATCATGACTGCTACATTTTTTTTCCCCTGTTTGATCTAGTGTGGGAAGTTCGTATCAAATTGCATGCTGTTGTTTTGGTAAGCCAAACTTATTTGTTCTTTTATTTGCACATAAAGCATCTTCTTTCTTTGAATCCTCAAGAATGTTCATTAATTAGTTTAAAAACTGAAGAAACTAATTAATAAGATGACAAGCTTAATTTCTGCATAGTTGTAGCCATCTAATGTGTCACTTGAATCCCATTTTGGCATTAGATGAAGATGAATATAACAATGAGGATGCAGAGAGCTTGTGTTATTGCTTGTTGGATACAAACTTTGCACTAGAGTTCTTATTTTCTCGTCGATATATGGAGGCCGGAGAGCCCTTGAGTAGAACATCAACCTTGGTAAACTCTTCGCTCTCATGCTTGATTTCCTTGAGCATTGCTGCCGCGTCTTTCATGGTAGGCCTTTCGTCCGGGGAGGAGTTTAGGCATAATAAGGCATGTAAACTATAATAATTCGTGTTAAGTCATTAATCACAAATTTACATGAATCCCATATCTTAGAACTTCATGATTTTCACATATCTATAATGCATAAATAAATACTAGTTAGATATAAATACCTCGATTCACGATATCAATTTTTGTTGAGATTAAGTCCAACGTCCAGATCCTTTGGCCACGAACTAATTTGCAACTCTGATCAACAGGCAAAGGTGGAAACTGGTTTCTCTCTCTTGGCCTTTTGCACACATAAAACTTTTACGTGTTGTTTCATTAATTGTACATAATTGATGGAATATATGCACTTTTATAAAGGCAGAGAGAGGACCAGTTTTCCTTATAGTAACATAATTCTACTTTCCATCAAAGTAAGGAATAAGAAAGGAAAACACTTCTCCAATAAGTAATATTAAAAAAAGTAATTATAAGTTGACCAAAAATAAATAATATTAATTGATATATATTTACTTTTCCACCAAGTAATATGTCACATGTCCAAATCATGTGGGTCACAATTAAATAAATAATTTTACATTCTCCCACTTGGCATATATGATAATTTCTGTAGTGGTTTAGTAAAATAGTCATTAATGTGCACCATAAATCAGATTAACTCATTAAATTGGTCATCATAAATACCATGGTAAATAAATTACCAATGCGAGTCATGGCGGTTATATATCCTTAAATGACATAATCCATTCCATGTACCACAACACTAATAATCTATTCAACATAGTCTATAAATGAGAAGTAACAATAATGATCTAACAATAATATCTTTTCCAAGACTATTCCTATTACCACTTATTAAAGTAATACGTACATGTACATTAATTAATAGGAAATATCATAAACATATTTAATCAGCGCAAAATGTCAAATATATATAAGCACTATTTAAGCAATCCACAATTAAAAAATAATCATCATTGGCTACATTTAAGACCCATTCTTTCAACATGTTCCATAAATGTCTTGGATGGTAGTCCATTCATTAATGGATTGCAATCATAAGTTGTGTGCTTATAATTTCAATAGACATTTGCTGTTTCTAAATATATTCTTTAATGATAAAGTATTTCAACTTTAGAATACCTATCATTTTTCATACAAGAAGATCAACAATTGCAGCATAAATTTTCAACAATCTGAAAACGGTACCCATAACTCCAAGTTCTGAAATAAATTCTGCAACCATAAATTATAGCCTTAAAGCATGATACAAATTAAAATTTCATAATAGACAAAGTAATCATAAATTATTTTGCGTTTTTTCATAATATTGTTCCTCCAACCAAATCTTTTAGAACTCTTTTAATATATGCTTTATGAGATAATTCTAAAAACAAATCAATGTGATCTATAATGAAATATTTCTATTCCTATCACATAGGATGCTTCATCCATATATTTCATTTCAAAGTTGTTAGAGATAACTTTTAGTTTCATATAATAAACTAAGATCACTACTAACAAATAAAATATCATCAATATATAGAATCAGAAATATAAACTTACTCCCACTAACCTTCTAGTATATACACTGATCAACAGTGTTTTTCTTAAAACCAAAAGAAATAATGGTATCATTAAACTTAATATACCATTGTTAGGAAGTTTGTTTAAATCCATATATTGACATCTTAAGTTTACGGACCATGAATTCTTTACCCTTTAATATGAAGTCTTCAAATTGTTCCATATGGACTTCTTCTTATAAACTCCTATTCATAAAAATTGTATTCACATCTATTTGATGTAACTCTAAATCATAATAAGCTACTAATGCCATGATATTTTAAAAGATTTCTTCTTAAATACTAGAGAGAAGATTTCTTTATAATCTCTTCATTCATGACACTAATCCATTTAGTAAAATCATTACTGTTAATGGCTTGTGAATATGTAACCGGATCCGTATATATCTTACTATTTATCAAAATCAGATTCTTGCAGATATATCACATAGTCATCCGGAATAGCAGATCTCATTTATCTTTGAGATCGTCTTAATGTTATTCCTTATGATTTTTTTACAATCTATTCATTGGTGACAATCTCATTATAGAGTTGTTGATCATTTAATTGTTCTTCGTTATTATACGGTTCAACAACTGAAGTAACAATTATTTCCTTATAAGTTATGGATAAAGATATTTGTACCCTAACTTCTGAAATGATCAAATTCTTATTTTTATCACTCCCACTGATTTCACCATTCTTAATGAATCTGACATTACCGGTTTCAATAATTATCGTACTATGTTTCGGATAGTAAAACTTGTACCCTTTAGATTACTTAATATCCACAACATTATGGGTAACGAGGAATTACTTAACATACTCCTAACCAATTCCATAAGAGTACGATTATGCCTTACAGCTACACGCTTCTGCTGTGGCATATATAACAAAGTGTATTGAACACAAATGGCAAACATTTCAAGGAGTTTAACAAACGGTTAGAGTATTAACCTGTTTCATCATACTTTACATAATATTCACCACCTCTATATGACCTTATGATTTTCACTTTCTATCTAGTTGTTTTTCAACCTCATTTATGTATACTTCAAGAGTACCAACTGTTTGAGATTTTTCATACAACAAATAGATATATCCATAACGTGAAAAATTAACTATAAAGGCAATAAAATACTTTTCTCCTCCAAAAGATGGAACATCAGAAGGTCTACAAATAATTTCAAGAAGCTATGTACTTATTGTGGCTCATTTCTTTGTGCGTTTAGTTTGTCTACCCTTAATACAATCTACACACACATCAAAATCAGTAAAGTTTAGATTCAGAAGAATCACATCATTTACTAATTTTCCTAACATTTCACTAGATATTGACCTAGTCTTTTATGCCAAAGATAAATTTTCGATTAATTGAGCTACGCTTAATTCTAACATTATGATACAAGATCAAAAGGATTTTAATAAATAAACCATCAAATTTGAATTTACAGAAATCATCAACAATAATACCATAACTCACAAATTATAATTTCTTAAATAAATATCATTACCAAATTTAAATGAAAAGCCATTAACATAAAGTTTTTGAAATAAAATCAAATTATGGGAAATTGAATAAACATAAAAATTTTAAAACAATTTAAATAAAATCCATTGTCTAACATTAAACATAGTGTCACAATGGTTTCAACAAAACTTTTTCCCAATTATCATAAATAAGAAATTCTTATTTGAATTTGTGGTTTAGGCCATAAATAATTCTTGCATCTATTAGAAACATAAATATTAGTACTTAAGTCAACCTATCATGTATTAAAAAGAATTTCAACAAGTAATTTACAATATACAAAAGCCAAAAGCGTACTTTTCTTTTTCGAATCATTCTTTATATGTCATGTAATCTTTCTAAAAATGTTCAATACATTAATGACACTTTTTCATTATTACTTTCTTTTAGTAGATTGACCTAAATCTTTTAATTTTGGGTGTTACTCACTTATTACCTTTTCTGACTTATTCCCAAATT